CACTTTCATTTCTTTCTGTATTTTAACTATACAAAGCCTACAATGGTGTTGTCTTCACCTCAGATGTACAGAACTTTAGAGTTGGAAAACCATGGGCTCTGCAATTCAAGCTCCAGCTATGCCATTTACTTTCTAAGATGTTAACATTTAAGGCCTCAGTTTCCTTATCAGTTAAATGTATAAAACAAAAATTCTGAAACTTTTCTTTTAAAAAGTTATAATGAGCTGGGCATGGTGGCACATGCCTGTAATCCCAGCACTTGGGAGGCTGAGGCAGGAGGATCGTTGCAAGTTTGAGACCAGCCTAGGCTACATAAGTGAGTTCAAGGCCAGCCTGAACTACATTGAGAGACCCTGTCTCAAAAAAAAAAAAGTTATAATGAGAATTCAATGAGCTCATACATGTAAAGTACATAGCATCAGTTTGGTAGCTTTAATCCTTCACTTTCACAGACAAGGATTCTAAAAAGCCTAGAAAGGTAAAAACTATTTTATCAAAAATCACACAACTGTTTGGTGGCAGGGTCAGCACTAGAAGTCTGACCCTGGAGTCACGGTTTTTGCTACAGTATACAGGACTGTCTCTCTGATTTGAGCCAGAAACTTTAATTGTAGTTTCAGGCCCTCACTACAAATAAAGTAAAAATTCAAAGATGGAATAACTATGTGTTGACTAATAGGTAAAATTAAGAGGCAAGCACAGACATCGCACAAAGGGGAATTTGTCCAGGAGTGTTGTTCACTCTTACTAGCCAAATTCAAAACTACCCTGCTTCCCTTATAGGTCTGAAGCCTTAGGGCAGCACATTCTAATCTTGATCATAACTTTATCCTAGAGTCTAAGAAAATCTAGGACAACCAGCTGAGCAGGAAGAATGTGATAGTTAAGAGAAATGGTAACCTCCCTTGTGCTACAATAAGATCCTTTTACTTTTTGCTCTTAGAGGATACATTTTGAGTTGTTCCTCTCAATATAGTTATACAAAAATAAAATATCACAGTAATCATTTTTAGAAGTGGCAGCAATATCACTGCAAATTATAGAAACATTGAAAAGAGATTAAAAAAAAAGTCAGAAAACTAGAAATTAGACAGTCCATAAATTCCAAGACATCTTCCACCTACAATGGTATTTTTATTTATTTATTTATTTATTGTCTTTTTGAGACTTAGTCTTGTTATGCAGTTCAGGCTGACATTGAGCTCACCTTGTAGCCCAGGCTGGCCTCGAGCTCACAACAATCCTCCTGCCTCAGTCTCCCAAGTGCTGGGATTACAGGCATGAGCCACCACATCCTGCTACAATGGTATTTTTAAAAGAATATATTCAAATGGAAATAAAAATAGACATTGTAATTATTATCATGTAGGCCTCTTTATCAGTCACCACCAAGTAATTAGGAGATCTGGAATGTTTCCTTGACCTAGGTTTTTGATGGCTAGTAAGGAAATACTGATTGAACAGCAATAGAAGGTTATCCTAAAGGCACAAGTTCAGTAGAAAACAATGTAAAATAAAAAAGGTGGAAGGAAATTAAAGAAAAGGAAGAGACCATGATTTTGGCAAATGTAAGGGAAACCAAAGAATTAAGGCTCTTGAAAGATAACAGCAAACTGCTCAGGGATGTGAAATGATATGGTGATGCCAAGAAACAACTCTCAGGCAAAATAAAAGGCAACATAATTTGGTTAGGACTAAGATGAGGTTTCTGGAATGGAAAAGAGGACTTGAGAAACAGAAGGGAATATATAGCAAAGGCAACACTGCCTCTGATTTCTACTTTATTCTAGTACTTTTAGAATTAAAATTTTGAACACACCTTATAAAGTAGGTATTACTACTGGCAAAGAATCTGAATACTACTGGCAAAGAATCTGAATTACTACTGGCAAAGAATCTGAATACAAACAGCAAGGGATAAGAATCCGAACAAAAACTCATCACTGCTTTGGTTTTCTTTTTTTTTTTTTTTTTTTTTTTGGTTTTTCTCCGGTACCGGGAACCGAACTCATAACCTTGCGCTTGCCAGGCAGGCGCTTTTGCCGCTGAGCTA